GATATTCCTCTAACACTGGGTATGCATGACACTCCTCAGGTCAACATTCCTCCGGCTTTTACTTTACTGAAATTGTGATGCAGAAGAGATTTTTCTGTTCCAAACATGACAAATCAAGAGGCTTCTGGTGGAATGCAGGTTAGAGGTTATGTAGTATGTTAGACACATGTAACCTTTTCTAGGTATGGTATATATTTTTGGCTTTTTTTTTTTTTAAGTAATCTAGGTCCTACATCTCATCCACTTTGGATCGAAAAGCTTCTAAACTCACTTATTCCGCCATCCAATTAAAATCTTTTAAGAATTAAGCAATCATTTCCTGACTTGCCAAGGATTAAATTTAGATGCTTGGTTGAACATGAGCCTTATCTTTCAAGCCATCACTTTTAATTGGAGCATGTAAAAGGATAACACAGGGTTTTAGCTGGCATCGTAGTCTACCACCATGGAAATGTAAACATGGCTTGTCTCAAAGCAAGTTTTAGGGGTACAGAGAGACTGGGAGATGGGAGATAAATTATGTAAAAAACAATGCTGTAGATGTTGGAGCACCCTAGGAGTTCAGACCTTCAGTGATCTCATCCTGCCTCACGACCTCAAATATCCTCGATACATTGATGACTCTTAAATTTCTATCTCCAGCTGGTCCTATTCTCTGAACTCCAAACTCCTATATCTGTCTTTTTGACGGCCTCAGTTGGATGTCTAACAGGCACCTCGAATCTCGCATGTCCACCCTGAGCTCCTGATACTGCCCTCTTCCTAGCCAGCTTGCTCTGCTCCCAATCTTGTTTCTCGGCAAAAGTCAGCTTCCCCTTCCTCATGCAGAGGCCACAGGACTTGGGAGTAATCCTTGACCCATCTGTAGTCCTCAGCAAATCTTGTCAGCTCTGCTTTCAAAATATAATCAAAAGATGCTCACTTCTTCCCACTTGGACTGCTTTCAAGCTACCGTCATTTCTTGCCTGGATTATTGTAACAGCTCTGAACTGGTCTCCCCTTTTTTGCCCTTGCCTTCCTTCAGTCTGTTCTCACAGCCTCCATAGTGATGATATTAATATGTACATCACATTAGGTCACCCCTCTGCTCAAACCCTCCAGTGGCTTTTCATCTTATTCAGGGTATGACCCAACATCCTTTAATCATTAATCACCCTTCCCCCTCCCTTTCTTTCTTCTTCAGCCACACTGGACTCCTGTTGTTCACTGATCGTAAGAGGCGTGTTTCCACCTCAGGGCCTTTGCATATGCTCTTATCCTGGGTATCTGTATGGCTGGCTTCCTTTCCTCCTTTAGGTTTTTACTCAAAATCACCTTCTTAGTGAGGCTTTCTGTGGGCAAGGACCTAAAATTACTACTCCCATCTCCCTTTCATGCCTTATTTTCCTCCTTAGCATTTATCTAACATACTATGCATTTTACTTATTTCTACTGATACGGTCTCTTCCGTTAGAATGTAAGCTCCATGAGGCAGGGATTTTTGGCTGTGTTTTTCACTGCTGCATCCTCTGCATTTAGGGAAGTACCTGGCATATATACAAAGTCAATAAATATTTGTTGAATGAATAAAAGATGGGTGATACATGTCATAAGAAATAAAGATTATTAATGAAAGCATGATTAACAAAGATCTGTGAGCTTAATCTCCAACGAAGTTTATCTGTTGTTGGGTTTTCATGGAATTCTGTCTTTGGAGGAACTCTGACTTAATTTTCCACAAGCTTGATTTATCTTTGCATTGTGGAACTTCAGAGATGAGTGTTCAAGAAGAGAATAATGATAAACATAGGTGGCTATTAAATAATGCTCACTGTTTGCCATGTTGGATGAGCTAATGATATTTTAAAATTATTAGTACACAGAGCTTACTATTCATAGCAAACTGAAATTAGACATAAAAAAAAGTTGCTCATTGAATTAGCAGTGTCTGGCACACAGTAATGTAATATATAAAGTGAATTGGATTGGGTGCTGTCCAAGAGGGCTGGGTTACAGAAGTAGTTTTATTTCTGAAGTGATTCTACAGTATAGGCACCGGTGTCCAAGTTGGCGCCAGTTAAACGAAGAAACAAAGGAAGGGACGGTCATGAAGATACCATCTTTAGACTCGAAAATTACAAATCCTTAGTTGTTCTCCTTTATCAGCTTACAAAGTAAACAATGAATGCACACACTATAAGCTTTCAAATGAACTGCAGATGAAAAGGGCAATAAATACCAGCCCGAGGTAGAGGTAGAGGCAGAATGCTGTAATGGAAAGATAAAGCTTGGGAAACGTGGGTTTCCAGCTTTCACTGTGACACTAACTGGCTGTGTGATTTGGGGTGAGTCATCTAACTAGTCTCTTAGCTCACCTGTAAAATGTGGAGAATGGACTGCTGGGCTTCAACAATCCCCCAAGCTCTAAGTATTGTAAGATTTTTTCGACTTTAAGCTTTATCACTGTGGTAGGCAGAATAATGTCCTCCCGCCCCCGCCCCCCCAAGGATGTCTACATTCCTAACCCCCAGAACTTGTGAATGTTACATTACATGGCAAGGGAAATTAAGGTTGCTAATAAGCTAACTTAAAATAAGGATATTATCCTGAATTATCCATTTGGGCCCAATATAATCATAAGGGTTCCTGTAATGTGGAAGAGGAAGGTAGAAAGTGAGCATCAGAGTTGATGCCATGTGAGAAAGACTTGACTGATCATTGCTGGCTTTGAAGATGAAGGGGCCATGAGCCAAGGAATGTGGGAAGCCTCTAGAAGCAGGAAAAGGCAAGAAAACAGATTTCTCTTAGAGACTCTAGGAAGGAACACAGCCTACAGACACCTTGTTTTTAGCTCAGTGAGCTCTGTGTCAGACTTCTGACCTCCAGAACTGTATTAAATTTATATTATTTAAGCCACTAAGTTTGTCAATTTGTTACGGCAGCAAGAGGAAATGAACACAATCATGATATGTACCATAACTAGCAAAGTTGGACCCAAGTTTATCACAGATGCAGGGTTTTAAATAAAAATTCTATACTCAGGTATTTTGTAAAGATCTTCAGAGGCAGGAGTAATCAGCAACCAAAAGAAGTTTGCAGATAAGCTGTGAGGCAGTCTTTAAGGGAGTAAAATTTTTACTAGTGATTCATGAGAAGTAGAAACCTGGTTATTTTACAAAGGAAAGAAAATGGTGAGAGAAGAGACATTAGAAAGGTTATACACAACATGAGTTTCTTATTTCTCTGGACCTCAGTTTACTCCTTTATGAACTGAAAGGCTGGGATAAATAATCTCTAAATTCCTCTCTTTTTTTATTTTTAAAGGGGGTGGGGAGAGAGAGAGGGAGGGCGAGAGGAGCAGAGGGAGAGGGAGGGAGAGAGAGAATCTTAAGCAGGCTCCATGCCCAGTGCAGAGCCTTGCGTGGGGCTCGATCTCACGACCCTGAGATTATGACCTGACCTGAAATCAAGAGTTGGATGCTTAACCGACAGAGCCATCCAGGCACCCCAAATTCCTCTAGCTCTTAAATAAGATTTTAAAATCCCAACATGTTACATGAGCCTTTGACACTCCACTCTCCCCCAAGTATGAAGAGTATTCATTTTGTAAAGTATAATTATCCTTAATGTCTGATGGTCAAGCTTCACAGAAAGCTCAGACTTAGTTTAAGAAGAAAGTGGCTCTGAATTTTAAACCTGACACTTATTCAGGTAGGGTGAAAGGGAAAATTGCTTAGCTTTCTCTTTTGCCACTGCACTTATAAAAGTATGTTTTCAGCAATCACTATACCTGCCCCTAGCAGTCTCTCCCCCTTCCTACTCTTGGTCTGGAAATTTGATTAACCTAGCTTATAAATATTTTAAGCAACATAAGACTAAATTGGTTACATACAGACCCTAGAGCTATTTTCTACGTAAAACATGGGTGGTGCAGAGATTTGGTGACTTGATTTTCCCAAGACCTTTTTACTTATTTCCAGGCTCTCTGCTGTCCTTTGGAAAAGCAAGGTTGCAGGACAGATGTGGTCTTAACTGTGGCATGTCTGATCATTTTTAATTTTTATAATGTAAAAAAAATAGTATATTTGAAAAGCCACTCACAAAAATATTAAATGGAAGGAATCTGAACGGTAGAATTTTCTTGGAATATATGATTTTTTTTTTTACAATGAACATATTTTTATAATTAAAAAAGCCATTTTCCCTTCCTCCCTCCTTTTTTTTTTTTTTTTTTTGAGTAGGCTCTAAGCCCAAGGTGGGGCTTGACCTCACAACTCCAAGATCAAGAGTTGCGAGCTCTAGCACCCAGCCAGCTAGGCACTCCGCCATTTTCATTAAAAAAAGAAAAATTAGGGATCTCTCCAACCAACCTATTTTCACTTAGCATATTTTCATTATTTGATTTTTTTTTTTATCGTTGTAAACATTGTGTTTATGGGTTTTTATTCTGATTCACACTCGGGTTGCCATAAGATAACCCATATACTGATACATACAATACTGAAAAGGCGTAAATATGAACTGTTGCAGGAATGCCAACAGTCAATATGGTGAAGGGTGATTGATCGATCGCCTTTTTGACCTCTGCTCCACTCACTCAAGTTCAGACGAATAATACCCAACCTGGTTCATGTCACTGTTCACAAAACACCTTCCTTCATTTTGTCCTCACAACAACCCTGGGAGGCGGGCACGTTCTCAGAGATAAAATGACTTGACCAAAGTTACTCAGGCTAGTCAGGGGACAGGTTCAGCAGCCTGGTCAAGAAAACCGGAGGTCTATGCAGGCGCTTCTAGTAACAGTAAGAGCTTCCACTACACCCTGGCCTCTACGTTCCCTAACTTGACAGTTACCTTTACCAACTCAAATCCTGCCTCTTCCACGCCTGGGAGGCAGGTTGCGGTCTAGGGAAACCTGTAACTCACCCCAAAAGCGGGCACTCTCCATCGCCAAAGCCCCGGTGCCAAGCACAGTCCGCCCCTCCCGCGACCGCAGGCTCTGCGTACTAAGCCGGACTAACCTGACCAGGTCGGTCATGCAGGAGCCCACCACTACCACCGCGGCCACCTCCTCCTGCCACTGCCGGCCCGGTTCCCCAGATGCGGCCATGGCCCAAAGGTGGTGCTCTCCAACCCAGAGGCTGACCTTTGCCCTTTGTCCAACCCCGTAACCAGAAACGCCGCTTCTACGCTCCCTAACGACGCGGGCCTTCCAGACGCCTCTGCGGGTCGCCCACCTGACTGCCCGAAATAACCCCGCCCCCAACCGCCCTCTGTTCTTCCCGGGACGGTCTCCCTGCACCACTTCTCGTTACAGAGCCCTCCCGATAGTTCCAGACTCCACGCCGCTCGCCACCCACGAGGCCGGCGCGGAGGAAAGACCTTTCAGGCACTGCGGGGACGCCTTTCCGAGGGCTCGGCTCGGTGCGTCCGGGGGCGCGCACGCCTCCCGGCTCCCGGGCCGCAGAGGGGGCGGGGCGGGACGTGCGGGGGCGCGCACGCATCCGGCTCGCGGTGCGCGCGCAGGTCGGTGCGTCAGTCGGGGGCGCGCTCGGGTAACCTGTACCCCCACGTAGTCGCCGGTTACCGATCGGACTAAGTTCCAGGTACCTGGACTGGGGCTGGTGCGGGGAGGTTGGATCCCGAGTCGCACAGGTGGCCTGTGCACAGGACCGTGGTTTAAGTATGCCTGGGGCTCGCCGCCTCTTCCTATAGAGAAGGCCCCCGTTCCAGAGATGCCCTGCTCATCCCCATCATGCTGGTCCCCGCAAGAACGAGTCCCCCAAGGCCAGAGGCTGCTCTTTTTTGCTTATCTAGCCCGTCCCCTGCTCCCTCAATAACCTCAGACTCCTTTCTCCTGTCCGCCTGATGAGGGGACCATACAGTTTGGGAAAAGGGAGAGTATCCCTTTTTAGATGGCCCCTGGAGTGGGGTGGTCATTCTCTGGGTCTGAGCCGACTTGTTTTTCTTGAATGTTGCCCCTGGAGAAATTGCTTCCCCATTTAACTTCCCTCGTGCGCTGTATGACGTTGAGGTGACGCAGCAGGACGCCACCCCTTTCCGTTCCATGACGTCAGCAGGGCACACGTTTCCGTGTTTGTCATCCCATCTTAATTGCGAGATACTGGACGATGCCTTAGACGTCTTTGTAGTCCCCAGGCTGCCCATCCGAGGACCTTATGTGAACCTGTTCGAGCAGCAGACCCTGTAAAAATTGTATTTCTGCATTTTCCTTCTGTAATACCTCAAAATCAGGAAATATAAATTGCACAACTAGCATTCAGGGGAGGCTGACTGCTGTAAATTTGTGCCTAGCTGGGATCTATTATAGAACTGTGATATGTAAAAGCCACTATTGGGGGTGAGCCCCCATCCATGTCCCTGGCTCAAAAGGATCACACCAAAGAACCATCATCTTTGGCTATTTGGTGACCTATGGTTTTGGAGTATTTCCCCTCTGTCTTAGAGAAGTCACTACACTTACAGTTGAAACAGATTTTAACGCTGCAGGAAGTCTTGCACTGTCAAAAAATAGTATTGTAGCTGTTCTGAAACAAAGAAATTAATTCCTTCAGGTGTTAGTTGAAGGTCTTGACAGTTGCTGAATTGGGACGGGTTGTTGTCACCTTAAGTATAGTTTGGCTTTTGGTGCAGGTTTCTTCCCTGTAGGATCTGACTGGTCAATCACTCAGGCCAGCTTTGGCAGCAGACCAGCTGTAGTCAAACGTGTTTCTGGTGGTCACTCAACCATTAGTTCAACTTCATAATTTTTTTCTGTTCCAATTTTATAAGTTGTACACTTAAACAGATGACTTCAATGCCTTTCTCTTTGGTGATTGCAATTATACATGCTTATGTGAGAGGAGGATGGGTATAGTGGACTTTGAGGGAGATCTGGATTTGAATTCTGATCTTTATTCTTGCTATGTTTGTGACTTTGAAAAAGTTACTTAGTCTTGCTGAGCTTTAGTTTTCTTATCTGTGAAATGGGAACAATAATAGTCAGAGAACAGGGTTGTTGGGGGGAAGTAAATGAACTTACAGGTAGAGGTGGGTGATACAGTGCCTGATACTCAGTTGACTTTTCAGAATGTGTTGATTCTTTTTCCATTTTTCATAGAAATGAGAGGTAAAAGAGTGATAGGTATTATGGGAAAAAAGCATGGAAGAATAATTTTGTAATGTAGGTGAGATCCTTTGCTTTTTTTCCAGATGAGTATTTCTGTGTTTTGCATATGATCTAGATAAGCATCCTTTCAAGAACTGTGACATCAGTGGATAGAAATAAGAATGGAAATGTCGCAGAATAGGAAAAAAATAAGCTTCGAAATGATAATATGGGTTAGTATGCTGTTCAAAGGCAAATTACAGAAGTTATCCTTATCTCCTGTAGAGTGGGAATTCTAATACCTGCCTACTGCCCAGGATTGTGATGATCAACTGTAATAATGTATTTGGAAGCTCTTTACAAGTGGTAGTGTTATAAAAATGTACAGCATGATTTTTATGGTTGATAATACAGGGCATTAGATGTATATTCTTACTTTGTAGTGACATTGGAATGGTGGAGGGAGGTCATCTGTTAAGTGGCTGGAAGAGGATCTTGTTTTATATTTGCAGAAAGGATGATTTGAGTACTGAAGTATAAAGCTTTTACCGCCTCAAAGGTACTTCTGGGTGTCATCACTATATAAGGTCATCAAGTTATTTTTTGAAAGATCATTGCAGTCCTTCCCTTTATTACTATCTGAAGTGATTAAAACAGGTACTGGTTTTCAACATTTATTTTGGCAGAGACTTGTAAGTCCTCATATGGTAAAATATATGAAAACTAGGACCAGAACATCATTTCCTTGTAGTTGTAACTTGTAAGAAATTAATTTGCTTTTGATGCAGGATTATCCTTTCAGATTGAGGAAGAAAGTGATTATTTAAATGGACTTATTCACCTCTGAAAGTAGAGGTTTTCATTTAGAAATCTATTTAGAGGAATTCATGCGTTCCCTCTCCTAACCCCTTGGGTTTCCAAATAATTTAGATACGCTTTGTTGGTTTTACTTCTGTATTTTCAAGTGTAAGAACTTCTTAGTGCCTGAAAGGCAAAGACTTTTAGATCCATGTTAGTTTGTGTTGCTTAATATCTGGCTAAGTGTTTATTTTCATGATTCAGTTGCTAAATAGCTTTTTGCTACATATGTTCCTCAGATACATTATCCTCGACCACATTTTTTGAGGGTATGTTGTCTTCTCTCCATACCTCAATATTTCTCTAGTTTTTGTCTCTTTATTCATTTGTTTATTAAAAGATTTTTACTGGGTGCTTAGCGTGTGCCAGGTACTTTTGTTAAACACTAGGGATTCAAGACATAGTCCTTGCAGGGGAGAGATCACAAAGCAGGTAGTTACTACACACTGTGGATGGACAGCATATCAGAAGTAAATAATTTCTCGTAAATAACAACTGGTAAGCAGATTATGCTTATTCTTGAATTTTATACAGTATTACCAATCAAGTCCTTCTTGTGGGGACACAGAGGGAGTGGTTCCTAACTTAATGGTGTGTACATGTTGTGTGTTGGGGGAGAGGATTGTTAGCAAAGGCTTCTTAATGCCTCAGAGTAGGAAGCTGCCGGTTGTAAGATAGGACAGGGTAGCTTTAGGTCGTGTGGGGCAGTGTGGCGGTCAGCTTTGGAAAGGAGGAGGGAATTGGATTTGAAAGGTTGCTTCTGTTCCTGAAAAGCATTGATTCAGTCTCTGTCCCGAGGAGGTGAGCAACAGGGGGTTGGTTTCTTCTGGAGGGTCATTGGAAGAGGCCGTTGTAAGACAGGAAATGAGGTATTTATTCATACAAGAGAAACTTCCTTGTGCTGTGCCAGTTTTCAGGAAACTTGTTCTATCTAGTTCCTTTGAATACTCTGACCACCATTCTTCTGCTTTCAGTGGTGATTTGCAAGTCAAGCTAAAATGTCCCCAGAAGTGGCCTTGAACCGAATTTCTCCAATGCTCTCCCCATTCATATCTAGTGTGGTCCGCAATGGAAAAGTGGGACTGGATGCTACGAGCTGTTTGAGGATAACTGACTTGAAGTCTGGGTAGGTACCAGAACTGCTTCAACTAATGGATCAGACCCAATCCAGCCTTTACCTACTAATAAACTTTTCTCACCAGATTCATAAAAATTGAACACCACAGAAATTCATCAAGTCATGATCTTACCACATGATGATGCAGTTGGTTTTGTCCAGATCTTGACATTTTAGGTTTCTAGTTGTTTTATTTGAGTTGTGGGCCATTGCTTTATGATCACAATGTTTGTGTCTTTTTTTTTGGCATGTCTCTTTGTTAATAGTGTGCCATGTGGTTTTTAGCAAGTATGTTTTTCATTCATTGACTTGTTTTCTTTTTACGTCTGCTGCAATCCAGCATGTACCCTAAGAGTTGGGTTTTGGGATTCTGAATCTGTTATCTCTCCTAATAAGAAAATTATAATAGCTAGCCAGAATGAGTCATTTTTCACAATGGGGTTGGAACAGTAGAATCTCACACCTGGAAATGTTGCATTAAAAAGCCCCGACTTTTTATTTCAAAATAAATGTAGATTTACAGAAAATTTACAAAATTCTACAGAAAATTAATATTGCTATAATGCTGTTGCTTGTTCTACAAGCCTTGTTTGAATTTTGCCAGTTTTCCCACTCATGCATGTCCTTTTTTTGGTCCAGGATCCAATCCAGGATCCAGACCGAGTTTAGCTGTTGCATCTTGGTCTTCTTAACCTGTTACTGTTTCTGTCTTTCTTTGTCTTTCATGATTTTGACACTTTTTTTAAAAAAAGATTTTATTTATTTGTCAGAGAGAGAAAGAGCACGCACAAGCAGGGGGAGCAGCAGGCCATGGGAGAAGCAGGGAGCCCAATGTGGGACTCAATCCCAGGACCCTGGGATCATGACCTGAGCCGAAGGCAGGTGCTAAACCAACTGAGCCACCTGGGCATCCCGATTTTGCCACTTTTGAAAGTAGCACTGGTTAGTTATTTTGTAGAGTGTTGCTCAGTATGGGTTCATCTACTGTTTTCCCTTTATTACAGTGAGAATTGCATTTTTTTCCCTAAGCATACTATAGAATTGATGGTGTATGGTTTTCAGTGCGTTAGGTCAGGGAGTACGTGATGTTCATGCGTCTGTGACTGGTATGTTAACTTGGACCACTCAGGTGGGATTGTGTCCACCACGTTTCTCCACTATTGCGTTAGCTCCCTCTTCCCTTTGTCATTGGTAAGTATCTTGTGGAGTGATGTCTTGAGATGATGCAGATGTTCACTTCCTCATTGTACTTTCGGCCACAAATTTCAGCGTCCATGGACGTGTCGTTCTGGCCTGCAATCATTACTGTCGTGCTGATCTAAGTGATTTTCTATTTCCCTTACTCCCCCCCACACTCTATTTCCCTTACTCCCCCCCACACTTGTTAATTTGAATTCTGCTGTAGAGAAGCGTTATCCCTCCTCCCGCAGTCACTTACTTATTTGCTTATTTATTTATGTTGGTGTGAATTTTGAGGTGTTTATTTTAGTCTCTAGGTTATCATCCAAACACTCTGTTCATTTATTTTGTAGCTTTGTCATTGGAAGCTCTGTTGACTTGGCGTTTGTCTTTTTGACATATCCCTTTCAGTTTTTGAGCACTTTCTTACTAGAAATATGTTGCATTCTTGATTCTCTTTTAGCTTTTCTTTTTAGTTTCTTTTGTCTGCTATAAGTCTTGCTGTTTTTTGACTAAGCTGAAGACTTAGATATGAGGATATACACTTACTTTCTTCAGTAGTGAGATAAAGAAGACTAAGTCAGTTGGATACTTTATTGGAAAATAGGATGCTTTTTTAGAAGATCTGGCATTGGGGCACCTGGGTGGCTCAGACGTTTGGGCATCTGCCTTTGGCTCAGGTCATGATCCCGGGGTCCTGGGATCGAGCCCCACTTCGGGCTCCCTGCTGAGCGGAGGACCTGCTTCTCCCTCTCCCTCTGCCTGCCGCTCCTCCTGCTTGTACTCTCTCTCTAATAAAACATAAAAAATCTTAAAAAAAATAAATAAAAGATCTGGCGTTATCTTCAATTTAGTCAGTGGGTAGGGGGTTTCTTTTGGGGCAAAAATGTCCTAAAAGTCGATAGTGGGGATGGTTCTACAATTCTGTAAATACATGAAAGGTGACTGGACTGAACTGTGCACCTGTAAGGTTTTTGTGGGGTGTGGATTATAGCTTAGGGAAGCTGTCATCAAAAGAAGCCAAACCCATGAACCAGGGATGTTTACTGTCCCAAATGAATAGGGCATGGAAATAGGTCTTTTTTCTTTAGTTTGTCACAAACATTTTTTTTTTAAAGAGATGTCGAGGACATGACGGGGGACTGAGGGCCAGAGGCCTGGGACTGGCTTATGTAAGATGATGTCATCTGAACTTCTTACTCCTTGTATCAGTATTCTGAGAGAACATTTGGGTTCATCAGCATGAAGTCACTTTATTTCTTTTCTGTAGACTCCTTCTCCAGTGCTCCCCAATTCCTGAATGTTTGGTTGAGCATTTAAATGCAAATAGTGGATCTGGTGATACATTTGAAATGAATCCACTAGACCTGGCCCGGGCTGGACTAGCTCTGTGAAAAATATTTGAAATGGCATCAGTGGCATTTAGTATTTATGGAATTTACTTTCTTCAGATTTAAAAAAGGAATGCAAATACCTCTACCCACGTTAACAAAGTTGCTATGCATAAAATGATGTGAAAAGCCTTATTGATCTAGAGCATTAGCGATGCCTTTTATGTAGTGCTTGTCTGAAAGATTCATGAAAGTTCCTCAGAATCTCATTAACAATTCTTTCTCCAATCCTTCCATCAGGCGAAGTGTGCATTCCTCAAGTTTCTATAGCAAAACAGTGGTGGGGTTTGGGAATAGAATGGCTTCTTCTTAGTGTGTCACTTATTGGCATTTCCCCTTCTTTTAGATCAGCAGCACTCATGGTTACAAGAAATGGGGTGCACATTTGTGAGTTCTGTGAACTGGAAGGGGCATACCCTATAGCGCACAGCATACACAGAACTAGTTCTTGTTTCTATATATGGCTATTTGCCCTTGCAGAGATGAGGTGTGAGTATCTATATTCTAGATCTGGCTCATAGGAGGAAGAGATAGGTAAGAATCTATTCAAAGTAAGATATTTTTTTAAAAAATAGTAACTCATCTTTATTTCTCTAATGGCACCTAAATCTTTGTACTGTATGTACACCTATGTATGTATGTGTGTATGTGTGTATGTATGTACATGTGTGTTTGTGTGTTTCTAAGCTCCACTGCTAGACTGTCACAATCTTAAGGACAGGGTTCTTATTTATTTTTAGACCTCCTTAAGGTCTGCTATGGTACCTTTCCCATATAGTGTAGCAAGTAGGGGTTGAATGAGTGAAGAGGTAAGATGTTTTCCTAGAGAAGATGCCTGGTTTGGGGATCATAGTGGTTTGGACTTCTGGCTTGGAAACCTGTTTCTTGGCCTGGTGGATTATTGCTTAATCTTCGTTATATGTAATCCTTTAAAATTTCATTTCTTGACAAATGAATTGATATTTTTGAAATTATAGTGAAGTGTATTATAGTACGGGGTTTACTATTCTAGGTAGAGGGGCCAAATTTTAATTTTAGGGAATTATTCCATGAGGCCACTGACTGTTTATTAGCTTTTTGCTCTGTGTTAAGTTGATCACAAGCATGTGCTATTTGTAAGATGCCATATTTTGTCATTTTTAGTGATTTACTAATCTTGAAGCTGTCTACATGTTCAGTGTTCTGGAATGGTGCCTGGCAAATACAAGAGAGGAAAGCAGAGGGCTTACTGCAACCTGTGGTAGCCAAGCCTTATTATCTTTTTTCAGCATATCACAGTGACTCACCCTTACTGGCACATGGCTGTGTTTGGGGCATCTGCTATGACATCTCAGCCGCCCACAACTACCTGTTGCATTTTTTGTTCATGTTCTGAATTTCGTTACTTAATTAAAAATAGATACTCAGTGTACTTGGTTACTAAATAGAACAGTTTTCAAAGATGAGCGCTGTAAGCTTTGAAGACTGATCTCCGTTTGCTGCATCGGTCCCTTTGGCTGGCAGACTGAGGCTTTATTAGCCCTGGGCCTGGAAGGAGGCTGCTGGCCCAGGAGGCAATACTTTAATTTTGAAGATGGGCAACTTTTAACCATTTTGCATCCAGTTGTTCACTGGGCTTTTCCGTTTCACTTTTTTTTCTGTATTCTTTTGTGATCTTTTTCCTTTTCTCCCTGTGCATATCTTTATACTTTATGTATTCATTATATAAAAATATATCCCTAAACCATATATAGTATTATATTACATGTTTAAGAAGTTTATACAAATGGTGTCATCATATATATATATATATTCTTCTGCAGCTTGCTTCTTTTGCTTAGTAGGAAGTTCTTGAGATTTACTTACGTTAATACTTATGGTTCAAGTTCTTTGGTTTGCGCTGCTATATCATATTCCATTGTATGACTACGCCTCCAATTTTTTATTCACTCTCCCACTGATTGACTTATATGTTGTTTTAAATTTCTTTTGACAAAGAATGCCATAATGAACATTCTCTCACCTTTGTGCAAGAAAATATATATATGAGAATATTTTCTGGGGCATGGGTTTTTGAACTGGTGTGTTTACCCATTAGTGGTTATAAAATCTATTGAGTGAGTCACTCAACATTTAAAAAATGAATGAGAATAGGATGGAAACTACCAGAATGTGTCACACATAATAAGAATAAGCGCTGTTTTGTGAATTTTGTTTTCAGTTAAATAAGTATGTGTGTACTGGGTTATAATGTAAAATATGTGTGTCATGAAAAAAAATGTTTGAAAGCAAAAAAAAAAATGTTTGAAAGCTATCCCTCTAGGGTATATTCCTAGGAATAAAATTGCTGGCTCTAAGGTATATGCATCTTCTATTTTATTAGATATTGCCACATTATATCAATTTCCTTCCACCAGAACTGAATGAGAGTTTGCATTGTTCTGTAGCCTTCACAATACT